CAAATGAGTTGTGACTTTTGTAGAGATGATCATTCAAATGGACACTGTTCTTATCAAGCCAACCTACAAGAAGAAGAAGTTCATTATATGGGTGCTCAAGGTGGTAGTGGTCAAGAAAGACAATCAAATTTCCCTAATTCCAACAACTATCAGAACAATTTTTCACAAGGATGCAGAGGGAATCAAAATCAGAACTTTGGATGGAAATAAGGTGTTGGTCCATTTAATAGACATCCTTCAAATCAACAACAATCATATCAACAACCTCCATATCAACAACAACAACAACAACAATATTACCCTCCAATGCATGAAAGAACATCAGGTATTAAGTTGCTAAAAACACATAAAGGGGCAGATGTTGATAGTACTTTATTTAAATGACTCATAGGAAGCGTTATGTATCCAAATGCTACTAGAATTCTACTTAGTGTGATTATTCGCTTGATGGAGCATCCTAAAGATAGTCATCTCCTAGCAGCAAAACATATTTTGACAATAAGGAACTCAAAAATTAGGAATTTTTTATAAAGCTGGAGGAAAGGTAGAATTACTTGCTTATACTGACAGTGATTATGCAAGACATCTAGAAGATAGAAAGGGCACGTTTGGTTATGTTTTTAAACTGGGAGATGGTGTAATATCTTGGTCATAAAAAAACAAAAAAATAACCAGTGGTTAGCTTATCCACAACAGAAGCAGAATTCATAGCAGCTGCATTTTGTGCTTGCCAATGTGTTTGGCTTAGAAAAATTTTGGAGCATCTAGATCACTGTTAAGAGGGAGCTACTGTCATTTTTGTGATAATGCTTCTACAATAAAATTATCCAAAAATCCAGCCTTACATGGAAGAAGTAAACATATTGATGTAAGATTTCATTTTTTTTCCTCAAAAATTTGGTTCTATAAAAAAGGAATGATACCTCCACATATTAACAAACTCACACGTACTAACAAAGATAACATCCACGTACTAAAACCTTGTGTATGTACAAAATTTAAACAACGTACAAAATTTAAACTGCAACAAATAAATAAAATCTTATTCTCTATCAACAAATATTGTTTTCTTAGAAAACTTGGTTCTATTATCTTCATAACATAAAGAAGCTAAATATATAGATTTAGCTTTACAACTGCTCAACTAGAAAATAGGAAAGATAATTCTCACATACTAAAAAACTCTCACGTACTAATAAAGATAACACCCATGTACTAAAAACTTGTGAACCACGTACAAAATTTAAAACCACGTACAAAAATTTAAACTGCAACAAACAAATAAAACGTTATTCTCTGTGAACAAACCCTCCCTTAAACTGTATGCTCCTTGCACCAATTTATTTTGTTCTTCAAGCATGTCCAAAGTGCTTCGTAAATACTGGAAACTATCAACTTTAAGTGGCTTTGTCATTATGTTAATTATTTTTTTCTAATGCAATAGTTCAGCTCAATAACATCATTATTACATAAATCTCTCAAAAAATGAAATCTTACATCAATATGTTTACTTCTTTCATGTAAATTTTTGGATAATTTTATTATAGAAGCATTATCACAAAAAATGATAGTAGCTCATCTTGAAAGTGATCTACATGCTCCAAAATTCTTCTAAGTCAAACACATTGGTAAACATAAATGCAGCTGCTATAAAATCTGTTTCTGTTATGGATAAACTAACTACTGATTTTTTTTTTATGACCAAGATATTACACCATCTTCAAATTTGAAAACATAGTCAGATATGTTCTTTCTATCTTCTGGATCCCCTACATAATCTCAATTTTTATCTTAGAAAACTTGGTTCTCTTTTCTTCGTAAAATAAAGAAGCTAAATATATAGATTTAACTTTACAACTGATGAACTAGAAAATAGGAAAGATAACTCGCACGTACTAACAAATTTCCACGTACTAACAAAGATAACACCCACATATTAACGAGTTTGTGAACCACGTAAAAAATTTAAACCACGTACAAAATTTAAACTGCAATAAACAAATAAAACCTTATTCTCTATAAACAAACCCTCCCTTAAACTGTATGTTGCTTGCAACAATTTATTTTTGGTTCATCAAGTATGCCCAAAATGCTTCGTAGATACTGAAATGTATCAACTTTAAGTGGCTTTGTCATTATGTCTGCTAATTGTTTTCCGTTACTACAATAGTTTAGCTAAATAACACCTTACACTACAAAAAAATATAATATTACCGAGCGGATTTAATAGTCAGTCGGTAACATTTTTATTATTTATTAAATATTTTACTTATATAACTTATTTATTTTATAGAAACTCATGCTCCTATATTTTTATTATTTATTATTAATTATTATCCCCTATTACATTTTTATAGCCTTCGAGTTATTATCGGATTAAGAGAATTGTCATTGGCAAGATTCGAACCCAAGTACCTTAGATTTAGAGGCTGATACTCCAACCACTAAGCTACCAAAATTTTTTGATAATAATTTACAAATAAATTATATTTATATACAAATATATTTATATATTTATATTTTATATATTTATATTTTATATATTTATATATTTATATTTTATATATTTATATTTTATATATTTATATATTTATATTTTATATATTTATATTTTATATATTTATATATTTATATTTTATATTTTATATATTTATATTTTAAATTTTAAATTTTAAATTTTATATATTTATATATTTATATATTTATATATTTATATATATATATATATATATATATATATATATATATATATATATATATATATATATATATTTTTATATTTATATATTTATATTTTATATATTTATATATTTTTATATATATTTTTATATTTTTATATATATTTATATATATATATATATATATATTTTATATTTTTATATTTTTATATATTCATATATAATTAAATGTTTATTTTTTAAAATTATTTAATTTAAGAATTTATTATAAATTAATCTAATTATGATTAAATTAAATTATTAAATAAAAAATATTTAATTTTTTAATTAGGTGAATATATACTAATTGTTAATTTACCGACGAAAATATCCGTCGGTAATTTACAGATGAATTTACCGATGGATATATCCTTCGGTAATTAATTATGAATTTACCGACGGATATATCCGTCGGTAATTAATTGTTAATTTATCGACAAATTTACCGACAGATATATCTGTCGGTAAATTCATCTGTAAATTACCGACGGATTTATCGACGGATATATCAGTCGGTAACTAATTATTATTTTACCGACGGATATATCTATCGGTAAGATCAAATTTCACAAATATTTTAGATCCGTCGGTAATAATTATTTTCCGATGGCTACAAATCCGTCGGTAAATATCTGTCGGTAATACGCGATTTTTTTGTAGTGTTATTACACAAATCTCTCGAAAAAAAATATTACATCAACATGTTTACTTCTTCCATGTAAGACTCGATTTTTATATAATTTAATTGTAAAACTATTATCACAAAAAAATAACACTAACTCCATCTTAACAGTGATTTAGATGCTCCAAAATTCTTGTCGACCAAACACATTGGCAAACACAAAATGCAGTTGCTATGAACTCTGCTTCGTTGTGGATAAGATAACCACTGATTATTTTTTTTATGACCAAGATATTACCCCATCTCCCAATTTGAAAACATAACTAGATGTACTCTTTCTATCTTCTGCATCCCCTGCATAATCATTATCAGTATAGGCCAGTAATTCCGCATTTGCTTCAGCTTTATATAAATTTCTTAAAATTTGAGTTCCCTACAAATATCTCAATATAAGTTTGCTGCTAGGATGTGATTGTCTTTAGGATGCTCCATGAAGTGACTAATTGAATGTGCAATATCCGGTCTAATAGCATTAAGATAGATAGGGCTTCCTATAAGTCGTTTGAATAAAGTACTATCAACTTCTGTCACTTTATCTGTTTTTAGCAACTTAATACCTGGAACAATACTATTCTTAACTAAGTTACAGTCAAACATATGGAATCTGTAACATATCCCTGATATATTTCTTCTGTCCATTAAAAATTATGTCACAACTTTGCAAAACTTCAATGTCAAGCAAGTATCTCATCTTGCCTAAGTTAGTAATAGCAAACTCATTCATCATTATCCTTTTAAACTCTAGAAACATTGATTCATGATTATTTGTGTATATCAAATCATCTACATAAACACAAACAATTAAGAGTGCACATTTCTCCTTCTTTGACAAATAGAGTGTGTTCATGTGGGCATTTTAAAAAATCATTAGCTACAAGACTCCAACCTACTGTATCAGGCTCTACCAGTCTGTTTAAGACTATATACAACTTTTCTAAGTTTGTATATTCACGTCCCCTAGAGATATATGTTAATATTTTCACTCATGGATTCAGATTACCCGGCAAGTGTACCAAATTTCGATGTATTAAAGAGTTATCGTCCACAGGGATTTGTGACTTAGTGATATTGCAGATAAGATATGGTTGTCATCATGGATTGAAAGTATGGTTTGAGGCAAACAACTAAAATAATCGCAATTTTTGGTATATATCGAAAAGTGATTATAAATAAAGCAGATTGAATTACATGCACTTGCTTCCAACCCTATTTCCCAACCATATAATTTCTGTTTTACAATTTCACTCTCAGTATATAACTTCGCCCGATTCCTCAAAACCAAGTCCTTGGGTGTTAACCATGAATGTGATTCCTCAACATTTCAAACCCAACAATCTGCCTTACGAATAAATCTTGAGATTAACTTGATTAATAAACACACTTCTATTCCTAGAGAGGTTGTCTATTAAGCATTTGATCTATTTCCGGTTAATGAAAATATTTTCCAACAATCAAAAGCCTCGGATCTTAAATCGGTTGATCACTCTGAAGAAAGCATTAAGAATAGAATCAAACACAACTGTAGCAACAAAAATCATATATATGGAGAAATGGTCTGAAAGTAGTTACATGTAATCCAACCCAAAGAGTTTTAGCTCCTTATGGAGGAACCTATTACAAAGCAAGAGAAGAAGGTGAAGAAATTACAACAAAACTTAGGTCTAAGAAGAGGGAAATCCACTGGGCGCCGGGATGATGCACTGGGCGGATTGAGCCCCCACGAGCACCCACTTCGTTTAGGGAAATTCACTGGGCGCCTTATAAATGCACTGGGCAGATTGGGTTTCAGCCAAAATCCGTTGGGCGCAGCTCGTGTGTGCTGGGCTGATTTTCTTCTTCCAATATTTCTCTTTCTCTTCCTTCAAATCCTGAATCAAAGAACAACTTAAAGAATAGTTACTTAATAAAATCTTATGATTTTTATGCTCTTTAAGGTTAAGATTACAAAAAAAAAGATGCAAATGTTGTCTAATAAAGGTGAGTTTCTCAATGAAATTTATACTCAATTAGCTCCTTAACAATATAACCTTGTGGTTATTCTAAGTATACATCTTCATTGATTACCCCATGTAAGAAGGCTGACTTGATATCAAGCTGATAAATGTTCCACCTTTTTCTGGTGGCTAATGCAACAACAATTCTAATGATTTCCAAATGAGCTACTGGTGCAAAAATCTCTATATAATCAATGCCCTCTTCTTGGGTGTATCCTTTTGCTACTAGTCTAACTTTAAATTTTTCAATCACCTTGTCTCCTTCAATTTTGTCTAGTAAATCCACTTGACACTTGTAATTTTGCAATTTGGTGGTGGATCAACTAGCTCGAATGTATCATTTCTTTGAATGACTGGAAATTCAGCATCCATGACATCTCTCCAATGTTGAGTGTGTGATGCTTGATTATATGTTACTGGATCTGCACCTGCAAACATTGCAAAATTATAGGTGTCAAATGGATTTACTAGACAAAATTGAACGAGATAGGGGATGGACAAATTTAAAGCCAGATCAGTAGGAAAAGGAGAGGACATTGATTATAACGAGATTTTTGCACAATAGCTCGTTTGGAAACCATTAGAACTATTGTTGCATTAGCAGCCAAAAAAGTGGAACATTTATCTTTATATCAAGTCAGCCTTCTTACATGGGGCAAGATGATGTATACTTAGAACAACCATAGGGTTATGTCTCTAAGGGACGTGAACATCAGGTATTAAGTTGCTGAAAATAGATAAAGGGGCAGATATTGATAGTACTTTATTCAAATGACTTATAGGAAGCCTTATGTATCTGAATGCTACTAGATCGAATATTGCACATTCAATTAGTGTGATTAGTCACTTCATGGAGCATCCTAAAGATAGTCACCTCCTAACAGTAAAACATATTTTGACATATTTGCAGAAGCTGGAGGAAATGTAGAATTACTTGCCTATACTGATAGTGATTGTGTAGGAGATCTAGAAGATAGAAAGAGCACGTTTGGTAATATTTTCAAATTGGGAGATAGTTTAATATCTTGGTCATAAAAAAAAAACTAGTGGTTAGCTTATCCACAACAGAAGCAAAATTCATAGTAGCTGCGTTTTGTGCTTGCCAATGTGTTTGACAGAGAATAATTTTGGAGCATGTAGATCACTGTCAACAGGGAGCTATTGTCATTTTTATGATAATGCTTCTATAATAAAATTATCCAAAACTCCAATCTTACATGGAACAAGTAAACATGTTGATGTGAGTTTTGATTTTTTTTTTCCTCAGAAAACTTGGTTCTATTATCTTCGAAAAATAAAAGGAGCTAAATATATAGATTTAGCTTTACAAATAATGAACTAGAAAATAGGAAAGATACCTACACATTTTAACAAACTTATACGTACTAACAAAAATAAAAAAGGTAACACCCACCTACAACACCTTGTGAACAACGTACAAAATTTAAACTGCAACAAACAAATAAAACCTTATTTTCTGTCAACAAATGTTGTTATCTCAGAAAACTTGGTTCTATTATCTTCCTAAAATAAAGAAGCTAAATATATGAACTAGATAATAGGAAAGATAACTCCCACGTACTAACAAAGATAACACCCACCCACATACTAATAGCTTGTGAACCACGTACAAAATTTAAACTGCAATAAACAAATAAAACCTTATTCTTTGTGAACAAACCCTCCCTTAAACTGTATGCTCCTTGCAATAGTTTTTTTTTGTTCTTCAAGCATGTTCAAAGTGCTTCGTAAATACTAAAAAGTATCAACTTTAAGTGACTTTGTCATTATGTCTGTTAATTATTTTCTGCTATTGAAATAGTTCAGTTCAATAGCACCATTATTACACAAATCTTTCAAAAAAGAAATCTTACATCAATATGTTTAAGAAGGCATTTAAAGAATAAAAAACTGAAAGTCTTTATGGAATTCACTGGGAATATTCAACCTGATCTTGTGCGGGTTTTCTACTCAAACCTCTCGGTCAGTGGTTCAACCATCAAATCACATGTTAAAGGAGTTGACATGATTATTACTCCTACTGTATGGAATGAGGTAGCTGGTCTTAAAGATATTGGAGTCAAGGTATCTAGAGGAAATGTCTCTGAGCTACCTGAATTCAACAAAATCCAATTCTTTCGCTCATGTCTCAAGAATATCAATGACTCGGTCACAATTTTGAATGTTGGAAAAATGAAGCTGGAACAAAGACTACTGACTTTCATTATAGCATGCGTGCTTACACCTAAGGGGAGCAATCGTGCTCTGTTAAATGAGGGCGATCTTGCTCTCATGTACTACCTCCAGAACAATATACGGGTTAATTGGGTGTTTGTGATTAAAGATCATATGATCAAGGCAAAACGTCTTGGTGATTTTAAATTACCATATGCTTTGTTAATTAACAAATTCTTTCAGTATTTTGCAGTTGACTTAGCAGGAGAGTATGTGGAAACTCCCAAATCCACAAATGAAATTGATGATTCAACTCTTTGGAAAATGGGATTCATCAAAGTGGATTGAGATTGGATTTCTAAAACTGAAATTGGGATGTCAGAAGATGAAGATGATGGAGAAGATTATGAAAATACTGAAATTCCATATTCTCTAGCTGCAGAAGTCCCTCAATCCACTAAAGATCAACCAACAACTGACTATAATAACGTGGAAATCACTCCATATTGCCCAACTTGATCGTGGAACACCTCTCTCTGAATTTGAGCTACAATGCTATATATCCCAAATGGCAACTCTGCAAGAAATTTAGAGAAAACATATGCAAATGACATACCAGCATTATCAACACACCAACTCTCAATTCTCCAACCTTAGCAAATCACTGACCTTTACACAAAATTGGAGAACAAGCAGCTAAATCAAGGAGACTAGGATGATTAAATCTAGACAACGGGGTCCAATCTCTTTCATCTTTGTTATTTTCTTTGTTATTTTATGCTTTTCTTTTTATTTTGGATTGTAATATTTAGTTGGTTTTTAACCAGTAGACAATTAAACCTCTAAATAGATTATGCATGTTTTGATTATACTATTTTGATGAAGTAAAAGGGGGAGAAATTATTTGAATTAAAATTTTATCACTAACACAGAAAAACCTAGTGTCTTCTCTGCAGGATTCAAAAAGTAATTGTCTTCATCAAATAGGGGGAGATTGATGATGATTAAAGAACCAGAAGATTTGATGAAGTCAAAGAGTTCTTTTGAATCAAAGTCAGATAATATTTGGGTTATGGGATGCAGTGTAGTGTTTCTACATCTTATCTTAATAGGTATAATCATTTCTTAATTCATACTGCATTGGGTTTCATCATTGGAAAGAATAAAAAATGGCTCTGTTAAAAGTCTTATTAAATGGTTAATATGTTCTTGAGACTCGAAATTAATTGATAAATTTCTAGATTAATCGATTACAAGTTGTTAAAATCAATTTTGTCATCATTTTAACTGATATATTTTTGAAATAATCGATTAAAACCACTTATAGTGTGTAATGTCACCATTTTAACTGATATATTTTTGAATTAATCGATTAAAAACATTTAAGAAAGTTTTGGAAAATGTTCTGGCCGTATTTTAATCGATTCAAACTCAAATTAATTGATTAAAATCACTTGAGATGTTTTAGAAAATATTTTGCTCGTATTTAATCGATTAAAACTCGAATTAATCGATTAAAACTTGAATTAATCGATTAAAACTTCGAATTAATTGATTAAAATCACTTACAAATCTTTTGAAGATTTTCTACAAGTATTTAATTGATTAAAACACAAATTAATTGATTAAAATCACTTAAGAAATTTTTGGATAATTGTTTTAATTGATTAAAACTTTTTTATCAGTTAAAATAATTCGAAAAATGAGATAAAACATTTTAATCGATTAAATGATATTTTCATCAGTTAAAACAGTTAGAATCAAGAATGTTTAATCGATTAAAAGAAGATTTAGCCGATTAATTGTGTTAGTTAGCTGCAAAAGTCTCTATATAAACAATTTTACTTGAGCTTTTTAAAACACACATTTGAGAAATCATTCAAGCAATCATAGAGATCATTTCAAAGAGAGAAGTGCGCAACTTTTAGTGAGGATTTTCAAAGTTCTCTCTTGAGGCTTTCTTCTGTTCTTTCTAGAGAAGAAATTCAATTTGCAATGGAATCTTTGCATCTGCATAACTGGATTTGATTTTTCTTGTTTCTTCTTTCATTCTTTTTCAATTTTGTATTGTCTTAGTGCCTGGAAGTTTGGGTACTAGTTCTACAGCTGGAATTTGGTTGCAGGTTTGGTTTAAGAACTGGATTTTGGTTCTTGGAGTGGATTGATTGTTTTGTAAATCTGTTCTGTACTCAAAACAATTTCAATCTAGTGGAACTCAACTAGAATTTGGTTGAGAACTAGACGTAGCCCAGTGGTTTGGGTGAACCAATATAATTCTTGGTGTTTCTCCTTCTCTTTAAACTCTTTCTTTAATTTTTGTGTGATTCTCCTCAAAGATAACAAAGATAATACCCACCTACTAACAGCTTGTGAACCACGTACAAAATTTAAACCACGTTCAAGATTTAAACCACGTACAAAATTTAAACTGCAACAAACAAATAAAACCTTATTCTTTATGAACAAACCCTCCCTTTTGCAACAATTTATTTCTAGTTTTTTAAGTATGCCCAAAGTGCTTCGTGGGTACTAAAAACTATCAACTTTAAATGGTTTTGTCATTATGTCTGCTAATTGTTTTTCGCTACTACAATAGTTCAGCTCAATAACATCATTATTACACAAATCTCTCAAAAAAAGAAA